GAAAAAAAAATTGTTTGAACAAAGTTTATGGAATTAATCTCCCATAACCTTGCTCTGATACCATGTTAAAGTAAAAGAATTAGAAGGCTTAACAATTGTGTTAGCCTGTCCCACTATTTATAATAAGAGTTAGGAAAACCTTAGGAAACCCTAGGTATTACATAAAAGACATAAATACCCTTTAACAGTCATAAACTTTTATAACATACACTAGAATACCACCATCAATCTATTGGCTCAGCATTCCTGAAGGGAGAAAAAAATGGATAGAGATGAACCCTGGACCCCTAGAAACCTAGGTATCGAATGGAAACTCAGACTATCATAGCATGTCTTAAACTTCTATGACTTACGACAATATATAAGCATCAAACTAGTAGCTCCGAGTTCCCTTTATATAAATATTTTGCAACTTGGTAATGAGAAAAAAGTGGAGATTCAAAATCCTCAAAATCTTTATATCCATTTCTGGCTTGTATTTGAATTTAAAATTCCATGTAACATGGGAATCACAGAAGCAGATAACAGGCACAGGAAAATCAACATTTGCTGTGCAAAAGAATGACCAAACATACCAATAGAAATGGTCAAGCTTGAATCAATGATTTTTATTCTGCTATCAGCAATGCTGAAGCGTGTCAGTGCAAGATACTTGCACTTATTTTCAAATGAGATACACTGGTGAAGACATCTTTGTATATTTAGTTGGATATCCTTATATCCATAAATGACTTGCATGCCATTTTTTCGTGAGTCTCCTTTAGCAGAAATGGTTAAGGAACTCATTGCTTTTGCTCAATTTTCTTTCAATCAGTCTTAGAAAGCATCACATATGCAGGCAACATATATAGATTAGATAGATTACTTTCAACTAGCCAAGCTTGAAATTAATGTGTTTAGAGATAGAACTCAGCTGTTCCTTGAGAGAGTTGACTCATGATCATCACCATTGGGCTGTGGGGTATCTTGAGAGATGAGGCTAATGCAAAAGCGTTGTTAAGTTGTCAACTCTGTCTTAATATTTGGTTGGTGATTATAGGTGCTAATTCTAAGATACCAATTGATGCAAAAAAGATTAATGTTTCAGTCTCTTTAATGTCTTGAATTATTATTATAATGAGAAGGTTTTATTTGGTCTAGTAACCTCATGTTTGACCATGATTTCAATAGAGATGGGAAATCAAGCAGCAGGTGGTTACCCACCTGTCTGGTTTGCGATCAAGTGCAAGATCTCTCCTTGAACTCCATATTTCCTCATTAAAATAAATTTTGGGATATGGGCATTTGACACTCTGTCTAGGTACTATCTTAGGATTTAGTAGCATTGCTAAACCACCTCATCTAAAACTTATATTATGTGATTAAAACATAGATAATATCCCAGCAAACTCCCTCCAAGTTCTTCGCAAGGAAAAAGATAATGACAAAAGATATACCAGCTTAGCACTGTCTTGCTCTGCGTTCTCAGACAGACGGTTTCTCAGTGGTTCCACGTGATCACTTCCATCTAGTTGGACACCAATGAAGTATTGGAGTTCCCCCTGAGAATGTTCCAAAAGATAACAAACAAAATTTCAGTATCCATTAACTAAAAATTCTTTAGTGTCAATAACAACGAAACTAGATATGAAAAAGGGTAGGCACCTTCTGATCACGCATAGGTTGCAAGTGGAATAAGTTCCAGAATTTCTTGCCTACAATTTTTTATTTACACAAAGAAGTATAAGTCCCAAGTGCATAGTAAACGTTGACTTTTATCCTCAGAATATTGAATGTTATACTGTACCGCTCTTAGTATAATTAATTAACTGAACAGTAATTTCTCTTTGCTCTCTGATGGCATCTCTTATCTTTGAAACAGTTGCTTGATCAGTTTCAGGTCCCTGAAGAAACCTGGAATTATCTCAACTACATAAGGAAACAATGTGTTTCTGTGACAAGCCAAGGAAAGTTCCACAAAAAGGACATCTTGCATGAGGGATAGGGAAGAACAGAATTTAAGATGGACGTTTCACAAAGCAGTAACTTTCATACCTGCAGTTCCTTCCCAAAATTTCTTCACGTGTATACTCCGTCAGTTCAAGAAAGCTATCAGATGCAAATATCTGCAAGTTAAAAACCACATTCTTATGTATCTGGAGCAAGATATCCCCAAAAGAGTGATACAAGAAAGAAAAAGGAATAACACACTTCTCTTAGCCACGTTGGTAAACCATATCAAACATAAAACATAATGCTGAATTTTTTAAAGGTTGGTTGAATATTTTCAGATTCTGCATGGAAAAAAGTAACAATTTTCTGAAAAACATTGTCAACATGAACAGAAGATTGTACTGAAACTTGGATATGTAGACATGATCTTACAATTGGGCAATCAGGAAGTCTAGGGTCTGATATCACAAAATTTTTTTCAATGCGTTCCAGTGTTGTTGCCAGGTCAATGCCTTGACGTATATCCCTTTCTCTTTCAGCATGGTCCCAGCTGTCTGTTCGTTCTACGTCTTTTGTCATCAAAATCTCTGGCTCGATTCTTGGTTCATTTTCTTGCATGCCTGCAGACCTCCCTTTGAAACTGCAGAAAATTGAAGTATTGTTTTAGCAAGACTGAATGCTATGCAATAGACAGATGCTGCCATTGAAAGATTGTTTTAGCAAGACTGAATGCTATGCAATAGACAGATGCCATCATTGGCGATCAAGTTTGTTTTCCCCTTGAATTGAGTGGAGTTTCTTCCACAATCCCTCACCTTTGAAAGACAGTTACCAGCTATGTAGGACAGTAATGCATAAATTGCAGAAGTGGAAAATGTAAAGCAAAAAGGACTGACCCCATCAAGGAATTGCGTCCAGATTTGCTAGACCTGCTGCCAGTATCCTGACGAGTACTCTTACTGTGCAAGTCCTTTATTGAATCCCGTTGAGATATTTTTCGTCCAGGTGTACCTGTATTACCCATTTCAGCTGGTCCAGGGAGCATATAATCTAGATTTAACTTGTCATTTTCATGCTCGGCAGTGGTGTCATGACTCAGAGACTTCATGTGAGATTGTGGATGCTTAACAGTTTGTACAACCTCTGTGATGGATCCAAAAGCCTTTTCCTTCTGACGAGCTAAGACAAAAAATGAATAAAATTTCAAAAACAATTTAGTTAGTTTTGAGAAGTGCCAACTTGAACTACTTACCATCATAGCGAATTAATGACTGGGGTAATCCATTTGGTCGTAGTGCTTTGTCATTTACCCCTTCTGTGTATTTGCTTACCTCAACCTGCATTCTGCCAAAAAGTGTTGAATTTGTCATTACGAGAGAAATTGTTAACCTGCAGATAGAAAGCAGCAATGAAGGGAAATTTTACCCAATAAATTTTATGGTTCGTCCATTGTTATCTTTGACCGGAGTGACTGTCAGCAAATTCCAGAAAGGGGTACCGTCCTTCTTGTAGTTGAGAAGCCTCCCACAATAGCTTTTTCCAGTTCTTGTTGCATTCCGTATCTTCTCCACCTCATTCGGATCTGTATCAGGGCCCTGCAGGAACCGACTGAACAAAGGAAATGATGACCACCTTCAACTTACTTCCCTGACTTCCGTTATATTTAACCAATCCAAAACTTTGAAACGACTCTAATAATAAGCCCATCTTTGAAACCAGTTGGGTCAAGAAAACAGAAGACTTCCCACTTTGTTATTCAATTGTCATCATAACAAGCTGTTTGGAGTTGAAAGAGTTCTCAAAGTCCTACGGTGACTTAGTAGGGGCGACTAAACCATTTGTGATTCACTTTTCATAGAGAAAACGTCCTAGTTTTGAATCCAATACTTTATTTTGTCCCTAAATTCATCAAGAATCATATGCTCAAAAAATGTTCTAACTTCTAAACATGCACAAAAATGTCATAATATTTTAGAAAAATTGCAGCAGCAATCACTAATATTTCCAATTTTTGCAGGGTTTACCATATCCTTCATTTTGTGCCGTGAAAGTTCCTAATCTTTCATAAATATACAGTTGAAGTCCATTAAAACGGAAACCATCCACTTTTCCGTTAGTTAACCAAAAAATAGAAAATTCGATCAATTTTGACCAAATTAAGAAGCGCAAAATAGTATTTTACATTTTTCTCATATTAAATAAGTCATTAATTAAATTAAAAACCAAAAATATATATATAAATATATAAACCCCCACCCAAAAAAAAAAAAGATAAACTGCCCCCCATCCTCGCGCCCCACCCTCAAATCCTTCATCTTCTCCCCCCCATCCCACTCTATCCCCTAAAATCCTTCATCTTTACTATCAGTGGCCAAATTAAAAAATTACAGCAACAACTGGATTTCGCAGTGAATTACTCAAGTCCCATTTGCAGAATTTTCGGACAATAAACCATGTTCGATGAATCTGGAAGTTAATTTAGAAGCTTCTTGTTGTGCAGAGAAAATGGGAAATAGGTGGTGTTGCTAGGTTCGAGTTTTTCTATGAAATTAAGTGAGGAATGGGCACAGACGGTGGAAGAAATTTCTGTGAAATTGAGTGGTGGTGCTAGGTTTGATATTCTGTGAAGTTCCTTTTATACCATTATTGGGACTGTGCTTTCAATCGAAGGTAAATGAATCGAGTAATCTGTGGGGTTTCTTGATTTCAACAATTTTTGTATTCTAGTGGCGTTCTGTTCTGGTTTTCGTGGTCAGAAAATTCTATTACGATAGCAGTGGTGATAGCATTCTGCGTTCTATGGGCATTTCTTGGTTTTTCTGTGGAGAGTGCCAGCACTGGTAGTGGGAGTGGCGGGGAAAGGGAGTTGTGGTGGCGATGATAGTGCTCAAAGGTGATGGTGGTGGCTGGGTGGTAGTGTCTCGTTGGAGGAGGAGGAGAAGAAGAAGAAGAAGGTTTTGATTTGGGGATTTAATTAAATAACTTATTTAATATGAAAAAAATGTAAAGTACTATTTTGCCATTTTTAATTTGGTGAAATTTGATCAAATTTTCTATTTTTTTGGTCTACTAACGGAAAAGTGGACAGTTTCCATCCAAATGGACTCCAACTGCAAATTTATAAAAAGTTAGGAATCTTCACTGACACAAAATAAAGTTTAGGGTAAAATCTACAAAAATTGAAAATATTATGGACCGATGTTGTAATTTTCCCTAATATTTTTTTCCTCACATTTTGCCAATGCCGATTTCATGACAATAGCTTTTTAGGTGCAACTAAAGTTTCCCTAAAAGCAAAGAGAATAGAAAATTGATCAATATGTTAATTTCGCAAGAATCTCTATTAGAATTCATGAAAATATTTTGAAGTGCTAAAACTTTGAGATGAGATCGTGTATTATCAGGATGAGTAGAAGATGTGCTCGTAGAATTCTTGGAGTTCATTATCGGCATGTTTGGTGTGAAGTATTGTACCAAGCTATACAGGTACAATAAATAATATTTTAGCTTCGTTTTCCTTAACGTCCACCTTATCCACAAGAAATAAATGCTCCAACGTAAACACATACGGATGGAAAAGAATATTTTAACTCACCAGTTTCTTCCAATAACTTCTTTTGAAGAATAACCGGTCATTGTAAAAAAGCCACTGCTGGCATACACAATGGGGCAATCAGGTTTGGTTGCATCAGAGACGACGAAAGTCTGCTGCAATGTTGCCAGTGCATCCTTCAGCTCCTGAGATACCCTTGGAATTTCAGATCGACTATTCGATTCCTCTGACGTCCTCGTAGATCCGACCCCAAATCTCTCTGAGGAGTTCTTGCTTCTTTCTCCTTCTCCAGAAAAATACTTTGAGTCCATACGAAAGACACCATCTCCAACATCTGCCCCAATCGTAAGCCCCCATTCTGAAGTCCTTTGAACAATTTTAGACTCATCACTTGCAGCGGCCTCAAACGCCATCCATTTATTTACAGCCTCTTTGTTGCCGGGAGAAATTCTAAACACTCCATCTTGCTTTTCAACATCCCCACTTCCCGCTGGTTCGAACGCGTCCAATGATAGCCTCTCCTCTCTATAAGCAGACTTCATTTCCGATTCTCTTTACAGCGAACGAATTACAACAATTTCAGCGAACCCATTGTAAAACCATCCCTTATTCTAAACCAAAGTAACTTCTCTCCATTAGAAGTCAACAAAAGAAGAACTAACGAATACAGAATGATCCACCTATACAAGTCTGATAGCACATAAAATTAGCAATTAAACACAGCTTACTACTACTATAACATAAACAGATGAAGAGAGATTATGATGAAACATAAACCCATAAAAGAATTTACTGAAAGTGGGGATTGAACACAACCCAACCTTGAAGCTTCACTGTTTGTAACGTTCCGAACAAACCTTAACTGGGAAGAGCAATCTGAACCAGAAGAAGAGAAAATGGAAAGATAATGTTTACAGAATTAATAGGATTTCAAGTAGTGCCATTTATTCAATATACGTGGCCATCATTTGCAACACCTGATGGTCGAGAAAAGACCCTTCATTTTCACATTTCTAACCGTTTCTCGTGCTATATGTCCTCGGTTAAAATATCGTTATCAAAGAGAAATGGGCACTCATTTCCTATTCTGAGAAAATGGTGAAAACTGAAAAGTGAAAACTTTACTTGAATTGAAATTTTCATCGTGATAGAAGGTTGATAGTTCAAAGTCTTTCCAAAGCCATTAAAGTCAAGTAGGCAATTAATCCGATTAAGACTCGACTTGCATACGGATTGATATGAAAAAATTTCATATTGAAGAGAATTAAACATTAAGTCTTATTATAAGTCGTTTGATAAACAAAAGTGAAAAAGAATTTCAATTCCATGTTAGTTGGAAAATAAAAACCCACCAAGCCTATATGAACTCGTTTTCTATGAAGCAAAAGTGAACTTTTCATTTCCATCGTGATAAAAGGTTGCCAGTTCAAAGTCTTTCCAAAGCCCATCGAAGTCAAGTAAGCAATTAATCCGATTAAAGACACGACTTGCATACGGAACCTAAGTCTAAAAATCTGATTTCCCAGTTTACCCTTCAAATAAACGGTGAGAGGTTATTTAAAAGTTAAGAAATGGCAAGGTTATTTACGAAAATTGGTTTTAAAAAATGAGGGTGTTTTTGACCTTTTGGAATTTCAACGTTTTTTTGCAACAATTAGAATGTCTGACAAAGTTCTATGTATTTAGCAATTAATTTATTGTTTGAAAATGAGGAGGCTCATTAAAAATTGGAATAATAGGGTCCAAACACACGTTAAATATACTTTCGCACCAAGATTAAATTATATGGTATACCGTATACATATGACAACAACATTGTATGTGAGGCTGAAAAATTATATCCAGTACAGTTTGCAGATAAGAGTATTAATGGGTGTCAATTGAGGACCATTACCTTGAAGTGACATATATCTATCCACCATTCGACCTCTACCCTACCCAAAATTGTGTCTTTCTGTATTACTTCTTTGGCATCATTGTTATTGAACACTAGAAAACAAATTGGGAGAAGCGAAGAGAATGAGTACAATGGTACCTCAATAAAGAGTAACAACGTTTTTTCGCAAGCACGAAAAATATTGATACGCATGTTATACTTAGGTGATGTTACACATATATAATGCGGTATTCATAACGGTGTCCACCCCCTCACATATTGATACACATATAAGGAATATGCTACTTGTACATAATGCGATGTCCATAACGATATTTACCCCTTACATGGAGATGAACTCACTTCAAATCTATTATATTTTATTCGAAGTGGGGCTCCCTCTATATGGGGGGGTGAACACCGTTACGAACACAGCATTATGTGCGAGAAACATATTCCTTATACTTATCTTACTCTGTCTATAAGGTTCTAAATATGTAGATTAGTGACTTTTTGAAAAAGAGTTACGAGCGTATTGCTTTCTTGAAATCGCTCAAAACTTACTTGTAAGTCTATTTTTAATTTTAAACAGCAATTCTAATTTAATGTGAAATTAGATAACCTATAGACCTATTTGAAGATCTATTATTAAAAACTCATTTGTAGCATCAGCCCGACAAAACACAAATTAAACAAACATGAGAAATAGATTTCCTTGCTTTATAATTTATGGGGCAAGTTAACCCTCAAAGAAATACAAACTACGATTGTTTTTGAGTAGTGCTCACAAAAATTGCACATTAGTTAAAATTTCATTACATTGCAATGGTTATTGAGTGAAAACTAAGTTTATTCAACGAGAAATCTTTAGATAAATTTTGTGAAATAATATGAGACTGTCTGTGATTGATTATAATTAAAATTCTCTATTCTGAGAAAATGGTGAAAACTTTACTTGAATTGAAATTTTCATCGTGATAGAAGGTTGATAGTTCAAAGTCTTTCCAAAGCCATTAAAGTCAAGTAGGCAATTAATCCGATTAAGACTCGACTTGCATACGGATTTCAAGGTTGATATGAAAAAATTTCATATTGAAGAGAATTAAACATTAAGTCTTATTATAAGTCGTTTGATAAACAAAGGTGGAAAAGAATTTTAATTCCATGTTAGTTGGAAAATAAAAACTCACCAAACATATATGAACTCGTTTTCTTGGAAGATGGGTCACTACCCAATGGTAAAAAAAAATTCACTTTAATGTACAATTTCCATATAAAACAAAGTCAAACGAATACTAAATTTTGATTAAAATGAATGATTTTTTAGGAAATAAATTTTTTTTTTTTTTGTACTTTTTGGATATGGAAACAAATTTTATAGACAATTGTCGAAAAAATTANCAAATTTTATAACCAATTGTGGAAAAAAGTATCACTTTAATGAACAATTTCCATGTAAAATAAAGCCAAACGAATACAAAAATTTTAAAATTTTTCGGGTGGAAAATTATACCAATCAAACACACTTAATTAACAATTCTCTGCAAAACATTTTCTAGGCATTTATTTCTCTGGAAATCATTTTCTTTCCACCAATTTTCCACCCTTACAATCAAACGCACCATAAGAGTAAAATGAGCTAGTGCTTGACCCCATTATTTCCATTTTTTGCCAATTTCATTTTCTGCACTATGGTGACCATATTAAACCATACATTTCAAAAAGTTCTATCAAAATCTACTAAGAATCTAATTTTAATCCATACCAAACACCATCTAAATGAATTGTCGATAATGCATGGTTGATTGCTGGGGATTTGTGACTAAGTCTAAAAATCTCGTTTCCCAGTTTACCCTTGGTGAGAGGTTATTTAAAAGTTAAGAAATGGCAAGGTTATTTACGAAAATTGGTTTTAAAAAATGAGGGTGTTTTTGACCTTTTGGAATTTCAACGTTTTTTTGCAACAATTAGAATGTTGACAAAGTTCTATGTATTTAGCAATTAATTTATTGTTTGAAAATGAGGAGGCTCATTAAAAATTGGAATAATGGGTCCAAACACACGCTATATATACTTTCGCACCAAGATTAAATTATCTGGTATACATATGACAACAACATTGTATGTGAGGCTGAAAAATTATATCCAGTACAGTTTGCAGATAAGAGTATTAATGGGTGTCAATTGAGGACCATTACCTTGAAGTGACATATATCTATCTACCATTCGACCTCTACCCTACCCAAAATTGTGTCTTTCCGTATTACTTCTTTGGCATCATTGTTATTGAACACTAGAAAACAAATTGGGAGAAGCGAAGAGAATGAGTTCAATGGTACCTCAATAAAGAGTAACCACGTTTTTTTGCAAGCACGAAAAATATTGATATGCATGTTATACTTAGGGTGATGCTACACATACATAATGCGGTATCCATAACAGTGTTCACCACCTCTCATATTGATACGCATATAAGGAATATGTTACTTGTACATAATGCGGTGTCCATGACGATATTTATCCCTTACATGGAGATGAACTCACTTCAAATCTATTATATTTTATTCGAAGTGGGGCTCCCTCTATATGAGGGGGTGAACACCGTTACGAACACAGCATTATGTGCGAGTAACATATTCATTATACTTATCCTGCTCTGTCTATAAGGTTCTCAATATGCAGACTAGTGACTTTTTGAAAAAGAGTTACGAGCTTATAGCTTTCTTGAAATCGCTCAAAACTTACTTGTAGGTCTATTTTTAATTTTAAACAGCAATTCTAATTTAATGTGAAATTAGATAACCTATAGACCTATTTGAAGATCTATTATTAAAAACTCATTTGTAGCATCAGCCCGACAAAGTACAAATTAAACAAACGTGAGAAATATATTTCCTTGCTTTATAATTTATGGGGCGAGTAGACCCTCAAAGAAATACAAACTACGACTGTTTTTGAGTAGTGCGCACAAAAATTGCACATTAGTTAAAATTTCATTACATTACGATGATTATTGAGTGAAAACTAAGTTTATTCAACGAGAAATCTTTAGATAAATTTTGTGAAATAATATATCTTCCTATATAGGATCGGTCACTAGCTATTAGTCGTAGACATGATTTTTCTATTCAAGTCACGATCGTTTAGCTATCAACCAACCAAAACATTCAAAAATTAAATGTAAGTTCAAATATATAGCTCTTGCATTCAATTGATACCTATAAAGTCTCAAAATATCCGAAGTCCAAAAGGTACATATTTTCAAACTCTTAAAATTGCAATATAGTCTCAAATTTCTCAAAATTTTCGAATTTAGCCCATATTAGTTTCTTAGCAATTAGGTCGGGCCACCAACCCTATGAATTCGGGCCCAAAGGTCGGCCCGAGACATATCACGCCGTAGAGGGGGGGACAGGGCCTCCGTTTCAATCACCAGCACGGTAAACAACAATGGAATCTTTAATCCTGCAACTCCATGATATCGCCGCCGTGAAATTCGGAAACTTCAAGCTGAAATCCGGCATCTCCTCTCCTATGTACATTGACCTCCGCTTAACGGTCTCTCACCCATCTCTCCTCCGTCAAATCTCTCAAACCCTCATTGCCACCGTCCCGTCATCCACTCGATACGACGTCGTCTGCGGAGTGCCCTACACCGCCCTCCCGATCGCCACCAGCATTTCCATATCGTCTAATGTTCCCATGCTCATGCGCCGAAAGGAGGTTAAGGATTACGGCACCGCCAAGGCCATTGAGGGCGCATTTACGCCCAATCAAATTTGCCTTATTGTTGAAGACCTCGTTACTAGTGGCGCTTCCGTGCTGGAGACGGCAGCGCCACTCCGTGCTGCAGGACTTGAAGTCACCGATGCTGTCGTCATGATTGATAGGTTAATATTGTATATGTAATTGTTCAATTAAGAATGATTTTTATGTTTTAATATCTCCTTAAAATGATTTTTCTTTTTCCACAACAATATTGAGACAGGGAACAAGGAGGGAGGGAGAATTTAGCTGAAAATGGGATAACGCTGCACTCGATGGTGAAGCTGACTGAACTGGTGAAGATATTGAAGGAGAAGGGGAGAGTCTCAGAGGAGACGGAGAAGATGGTTATGAAATTTTTGAAGGAGAATCGGAAGGTGGCGATGCCAATACGAGATGCAGTAGCTGAGGAGAAGCTTAGAGAAAGAATTCCGTATGGGGAGAGGGCAAAGATGGCAAAGAATCCAACAGGAAAGAGGTTGTTTGAGATAATGGTGCAGAAGGAGACTAACCTGTGTTTAGCTGCTGATGTTGCCACCGCTGCTGAATTGCTTGACATTGCTGACAAGGTGAGAAAAGAAAACTATAAAATGACATTTACTAATTTTTTATGCTTATTTTTGCTGGTTAAAAATGAGTAGCTAATTTACACAGCAACTTCGCGTACCTGCAAACATCATGTTAATTTTCTCTGAATTTTCTGCAGGTTGGACCTGAAATCTGCATGTTAAAAACCCATGTGGATATATTGCCTGATTTTACTCCTGATTTTGGATCTAAACTTCGATCGGTATATTTCAATCTTGTGAGCTTCTACACATAATTAGTTGCCAATGATTTGGACTATAGTTCAATTTATATTATGAGGAGCCATGGTTTTAAGCATAATTGTCATTGCTCCCCTGCACATCTAGTTGCCAGGATAACTTTTAGTTTTGTTTAGTCACCACTTCTTTAATGAATATAATTAATTTTTTATATCTTGTCAATGAATGTTGTAGAAATGAGGATATTAAGAAAAATATGTGGTCACATTAGATGGATAAAGTAAGAGCGAAAAATACATTAACAAATGGAGTGAATTTGAAAATAAATTTAATAAATAATTACTTGCATGATTGTGGCGTGTCTTGTTTAGAGTATTCAATCACAAAAGTGGTAAAGAAGAAGTTAGAATTAGGATAACTGGATTAAAATTATCATAGCAGGATGTGATTGTAAAAGTTTTTAACTTCATTGACATTCTTTGTAGATGTAGTGCTTCATCAGATGCGATGACTTAAAAGGACTTAATATAGTCAGCACAAATTTATTGAAATGTGACGTGGCTTGTTGCTGTCATTATTCTTATTTTTTCTGAATACTGTTGCATAGGCAATGGCTGAGCTATCTGATAGTAGATAACTTTTTCTTAACTCGACAGTCCTGCATTTCCAAACTCTCTCAATAAGCTGTCTTTCTGTTTCTACGCCATAATTCCTTGAATGAATTCTTATAACAATCCATCAAATAGAATTATTGTAACCTTGTTATGGAAAAGATTTGTGTATGCTGTATCTGTTCATAACAAAAAAAATTATTAGTTGAAATGTACTGATTGATCTTTCCTAATTTTGTTCATCCTTTATGAAGATTGCAGACAAACACAAATTTTTAATATTCGAAGATCGCAAGTTCGCTGACATTGGCAACACGGTCACAATGCAATATGAAGGGTCAGAATGGTTTACTCTGCATTTTGTGTCGATTTTTCTTCAGTTTCTTTTCCTCGAGAAATCTTTTTTTATATGTATTTATTGTTATTTTCATTTTTTTGCAGAGGTATCTTCCATATATTGGACTGGGCAGATATAGTAAATGCTCATATTATTTCAGGGCCAGGAATTGTGGATGGCCTGAAATTAAAGGTTTGCATTTCCTGTTCTTTTGCCATGGTTTGGAAATGGTAGCTGTAAAATTGCTCCAAATCTGATATGAATTTATATGCTGTACTAGGGTTTATCTCAGGGTAGGGGCCTTCTGCTGATTGCTGAAATGAGTTCATCTGGTAACCTTGCCACAGGTGATTACACAGCTGCAGCAGTGAAAATTGCCGAAGATCATCCAGATTTTGTTATTGGCTTCATCTCTGTCAATCCTGCATCATGGACTGGTGGACCTCTAAATCCATCTCTTATACATGCAACCCCTGGTGTTCAATTGGCAAAAGGTGGAGATGCTTTCGGCCAACAATATAACACCCCATATTCTGTAAGTATAACACAACCCATCTTATGATAAGTTTTTCCAAGCCTCGTAATAACACAAATTTTTGTTCTAGGTCATTTCTGATCGAGGCAGTGACATCATAATTGTTGGCCGTGGAATTATAAAGGCAGCAAATCCTGCAGAGGCAGCTCGTGAATACCGGCTTCAAGGATGGAATGCATATTTGGTCAATTGCAAATGAATAATGCACAATTTTTGTTGCCCGCAATGCTTGACATTTTGAACATTTCTTTCCCATAATCAAAGGTTAGAATTTTGTGTGAGCTAACTGCATTGTCTGGGAGTAGGCTTGATGTGGGATTACCAAAAATTTTCAAGCATTGAGTACAATATGTGCATTTATATATGGAGTTTTTTTTTAGGATTGAAGGGTGCTTAACAGTTTTTGTTGACCCCAAAAAATGTTGCCAACAGATGTCGGGCCCACTCGTGCACACGCAAGCTTGATCCAACACGCTAATGCCGATAGATGGTCATGATGGCTCCAAGTAATGGGCGTAGGAGTGGCTCAAAGGCACGAGACGTTTCCATTCAGGCCACCGGCAAGAAAAGTGTAACACGATTGTATAAGAAACCAATCGACAAAATAGGATTTGTAGTAGAAAATATGTTATAGGGATCACTGTTGAAATGAGAGAAAGGTTGCTCCCAATATTTAGTTTTTTCTTTAGAATTGCATCATCCCCTTTTGTGTTACATGGTGGGGGTATTTATAGTGTTACAACTCAATTGGTGACCCTTGGATCAGCCTACACGTGGCCTCATCTCCTTGACTAGGACATCAAATCCTAGCACTCAAGTTGACTCTCCTAGCTTTACAAAACATTAAATGCTCTTACATTGACAAGACATGACACAAATAAACTTTACATAAAAGTCACGTCAATCATTCGCCAAAGATCTCCACCATAAGCGGATCTTCGCATGTGGGTCTTCAATGGCTGCTAAGGAGCCTCGGACGATGTGTGTTTGCCGAACCGTGACTCATCGTTAACAGCAGCGGCCTCGGAATGATAGTTAGGGCCTCGGAGCCCACATCTGAAGCTAGGAAAATATGCTTTGATTTGACTAAGCTGATCCCACCTCTAAAATATGGTGCCACGTGTCGTTTCCACCTATTGACCCATAACAGTTTTTTCCGGCACAAAATTCATTCCCTCGCGACTTTGTGTATCTGAGCTCATTTCATTTTGCATAGCATCGAACTCTGTTATTGCCTCCAGCTTTCTTTTATTATCCTAGTGCTGCGGAAGATGCCGTGATGCAATTTCCTGATCTCAGTCTGGATATGATACAAATGAAAATTAAGAGCGCTCAAGTTATTGGCAGCATTTGTATTTATCTGATTTTATGCATTTATTGGCTAGACTAGACTAGACTCGACTGTACAGTGGACAAGATGTTTTGTTTATTCAGAGTTGTCTGGTATAGTGCAATCCACGTACCAAACGTGTTATGAAAGTTTGGAGTTATTTATAAGAAACTCTTGACTTGCATAACTTGTTCTTGGAAGAATGATTAAAGCTTGTTTGGTTTATAATGAACAATCATGCTACATATACATCTTGTTTTACATTATTTTTTACGTTGTGTCATGTGTCAACACATGATTAGACAGTTTAAAAAAAATACACATACACACTTTCTCGCTCAACACTTTTTGAATTCCCACATAATGTCAAAAAGGTGTACACCATAGAATGTACAGTTAGCATAATTCTTATAATGAATGTGTATCCGACCGTAAACTTCAGGGTTCCATGGGATTAGTCAAGATGTGCGCAAATTGACTCGAACATCCACGATTATCAAAAAAAATTCTTATAATGAATGTGCTAAAGGAAAGACACTGACAGTGGAATGAATTGATTTTATTTACATATTGCTTCTTGCATTGTCATTTATTTTTCTGTTTATATTTTGAAGAACGCTAGAGAGAGTAGATGTTAAAATATATATATATATATAACTTAAAAGTACTACAATATTTCTTTTATTTGTAATTTCTTATATGCTCTTCTAATACAGTATAACATCTAACGCTGTATTATAATAATATCCCTAATCTATCTTAATACTATACCTCGAATCCAATAAGGTCTACCAAACGTATCCTTGAAGCTTTCAAGTGGACTTCATTGAATTTGGGGAAACACTCACATTATTTCTTGCTAATCAAAAGTTCGCAATATTTATTTTTGTATGTTGGTAATTTCGTAATTTGTGGCTTAGCAAACTTTTTCTGCAAAGGTTTCAACTTTATTTTCTGAATATTTTCTAAATTTCCGAAATGAAAATCCCGTTCCTTTTCTTTTGTAATTTTATGGACAATGAAACTTTGGGCAACTCTACAATTAATTCCCAAAATATGGGTGCTCTTTGGAAATTTACTGCTATTAATGTAACAGTTAGGAACTACAATCGTAAAAAATAACTTTAGTGACCAATTTATCTTAATTACTCAAAACTTCAGTGATCATTAACTTAATTATCCCTTATTTCGAGGGAAAAGTATTAGTTTAGACAAGTAAAACGTAAAAAGCCACTTATTTATACACCCAACTTCACATGTAACATCACATTGAGAACTTGTAACTCATATCTCACACTTTCCATGCAACCAACATGCAAAGCATCAATCTCACTTCTTGCTTGAAAATCCCTATATAAAGAACCTTTACTACACATACTTTCATCAATAGGTGAAGAATGAGAAAAATGGGTGCTTCTAAAGTTGCTGGTTTGATGCTGTACCTCTCCATTTTATGTGCTGAAATCATCATTTCAAGCAATAGAATGTTGGTGAGTGCACAGTGTCAAGGGAATTTTCAGGGTCTTGTACAAGAATGCTCACAATATGTTCAAAAAGGTGGGCCAAAACAAAAACCTTCTCAAGGATGTTGCAATGTTGTCAAGACAGTAAACTTGTCTTGTGTCTGCCAACACATTACTCCAGATGTTGAGCAAATTATTAGCATGGAGAAGGCTGCCTATGTTGCAGGGTTCTGCGGAAAGCCGTTACCTCACGGAACCAAATGTGGCAGTAAGAAAAATATAACCTTTTTTTACTACGTCGATTTTTAGTGTTAACATAACCTAAATCAACTACATTGTAAGTTACTGTCGATCAATTTACTATAATGATTGTCTATTTAGCCGTTGTGGAAACTTGTTAAAGAAAAATTGAGACATTTTAAGTGATAATTTATTGCTAGGTCACAAAAGAACTTCTTATCATAATGAAACATCAAGATGTTACTGAGTGTTGTGTTTTGCCATCAATGTATTAATTTTTCTTCTATATTTTTATTGTTGCAGGTTACACAGTTCCATGAGGTTGAGTGAATGACGTCGAGATAAAGATACATTTGGTACTGAATAAATGCAAATGGTTTCAATATCATCTTTGTAATAGGATATATTGAAAGAAACTATTAGTTGCTTAAATATTGACTTTTCGAGTAATTCTTGTTTCGCATTTCAACAATTACTTCGTGTATTCTCGAATTACTTGAACCACTCCTGTGGATCTTAATATTGGGTTACTGAAAACTAGGTCATGGTTCTGACTGTCTTCACTAAGATTCAAGAACTCGATACTTCAAACTATTTGCCGAAAACTTGCGTACATCCATCATAATAGTCACCACATAAGCCCAACATTTTTAATATTATCATTCAAAACTGGTAGTTATATATAGGTCCTCTTTCTAAGTCACGTTCAATGTATCCCATCACTTGGAACCATACCAAATATCCGAGTTTGACAAGTATGATACATAGCCCATAGTTGAAGGCCAACATACTCCAATTTAGAGTGGGGATGCCTTAAACTCACTGTTGAACGAATTTTTTGGCCTTCATCAAACACAATGTGTCGATAAACAAAAAGTCGTGGATAAAAACAACGTAAATTGATGACACAAAAATGAGCAAAAGTTGGAAACCTTCTTTAATAATAAAATATGGCGCGAATATAATAATACCCTTTTACGGATTAAAAGATCATTTTAATAAAATATAGTTCTTTTTTTAATAGGTTTTGGGGGTAAAAATATAATTTGGACATACATGAGGGTTTACCCTTCGCCTCTGTAACCTCTTCGCTCAATTGACTTGCCGTTCTCTCGGCATCGACCATTTCGAATCATCATAAAATGCAGCAGGTGAGTCAAAATAAAACCTAAAATTGCACTACATTACGAATAAATGGGTGCGGATTTGTGTGTTTATGCATTAATTGATATGATTGAATGTGAAAGGCTGGGGCATCCGTCTCGGAAGTAGAAGTGACATGGGAGGACCAGCAGAATATTAATAAGTTTGGCAGATTAAATAACAGGCTTCACGAACTCGAAGATGAAATCAAGATAGCTAAGGTACACCCCTTTTTGGGCCTTTTCACTTTTTTTATTGGATTTTTTTTTTCATGGATTTTCAAGGTGCGTTCTTTAATGGGTTTTTGCCATGTTCTTATTCTTTTGTTTGTAAATATGTGGTTTGTGTGACTTGATCGAGAGGAATATACAAGAAAATCAAACATAAGTAAATACCGATTAATGAATATAAAAAAAGGATTCCAAATAGTTATAATGAATTATGATAATACTTTAGAAAGGGAAATTCAACTTAGTTACGAACTTACCATTAGAAATTAAGATTTCAAAGTGAGAATATACAAAAGAATGCGCACAATATATACACATATGTTATATGTAACTTTGTGGGCTCAAATTGCTAGCAGTCAATCAGTGTACGGTTTGGCTCAGTGATTAGTGCTAGATTTGGAGGAAACTCTCAGTTCAAGCAAATGATGCAATAATATCCAGTGATGTTGAGGTTCGTGACAGATCTTTTTCATTTGTTTTGCTTGTTTGAAGTTGTTTAATGACTAAAAATTAATATTGAGAGGAGCAAGCTTGTTTCTATGGGACGTAACATATTGATCTCTTGGCAGTGAAGTTGTGCTCTGAAGTAGGAAAAATGGTCTGTGCTACCATTAGATGGTGATTTTAGGTGATGCTTGAAAAGTAACATAAATGATGTATGGAGGCCTTTGAGTTGAAAGATGCAATGACCTCTGTAAGGTGGGGTCAATTCAATTGAAGAAATGTTGCATAGTATAAATATCTTACTTCTAAATTAACCTGGATTTCAATTCTTAAGAGGCATGAAAATTTGAGGGGTTTTTTCTTTGGAATGAAAAACTGTCAAGGAGTTTCACTTGGTCTAGGTGATTTTTGTTTGTGGTGTACTGCCGTACTGGGAGTGAGATTGGCTGTTGTCCACAGGGTTCAGCTGCGTAAATGGATAGGCCATTTTCCCAGTTTGAATTTCAGTGGAAGAGGATTACAGTATCTAAGTGTTATATTTATTCGCGTGACTGCTTTAGTAGTTGTCAGAATTTCTCATGGCTCACGGCTCTGAAATGGAATTTCTGAGACATGGGAGGATTTCACAGATGGCTTTGATTTAGGTATTGATGGCTCGATACATTTCGATACATTTTTTGTGATTGGAAATATGGGCCTTGACAACATGTTTCCACATTATTTTGTAGTAATGAAAAATAATAGAATCCAACACCAAAACTATTGTAACTTATGAGTCAGGATTTAGTTTAGGATTTTTTGTAGAAATAGATTGGAATATCCAGTTTTAGATGAAGTATTCTTTCACCCAGGAGGTCTTTAACTTAGAATTTGTGAATCATATTTAGAAATTCAACTTCATACTGGTCGGTGATGAGGGTACAGAGTAATGATTTGTTTTAACGTTGCTTTCTATCATCATTTGCTTTTTTTGATGTTTGAGTATCCCGCTTAACAGTGTATCATGTGTTAGTTTCCTGAGGAAAATGGACTTTTTTCAGCCATTGATAGTGGGATTTGATGCATTTTTGGCACTGGAGTCAGTGGAGGAAGATGGTGGTATTAAGCTGGTTATTAGCAGTGGGAGTGAGAGTGATATTTTTAAGTTTGTTGTCCAGTAGTTCGGAAATGTTGGAATCATCTTATTAAATTTCTTGTGACCAGGGAATTGTGCTAAAACAAGTGAAGACTTCTTTAAAACTTGGTATATAACATGAGTACTATTAATTCATGTCATGTCACAAAAGCTAGTATAGATTTGTGACTGTAAAGACAAAACGTTGCTCTCAGGCTCAGTTCCAGTGAGTAAAGATGTTATTTAATACAAGTTCTTTTATTTTACTATCTGGATTTTTGCTTGCCTAAAAAATGGAGTAAGAACTAATGTCATGAGTGCCACAAAAAGCGCACATAAGATTACAGACGGGTTGATACATCACAGAATAGATGATGAGCTAATCATTCCCTTTGCAAAGGAAGAGAAGTTTCCTCCTCTTTCCCATGAATCTCACACTCCATCTAATATAAAAATTTCCCCCTAAAAGGGAGAGAGAGAAAGAGTTATGGGATTCTGAATTTTTTAATATGCTATGTAAGGCTTATTTTCTTGGAATAAATTCAACATTTGGAATCAGCACGTGTCAATGAGCGTATTTGTGGGGAGCAAAAGGGGCTTTATATATCTTTCAAATCCCACTTTCCATGGCGATATTTTCTTTTGATGTATTGAGTAATGAGATATAGATATCTATGAACTGGTTTTAGATCTTTAGCACACTTTCAGCTAACATTGTAAAAATTCAATTTTGAAAATTTTGGGAAATGAAGGTTGAGCATTAGTGGTTGATTTGACTGAGATAATATAGCTGGGCACATGCAGAACATGATAAGCCCCAAAAGGCACGTGAATATTTCCCTTTAATTAGTTAAAGTAGGGGAGGAGTATTATGGGGATTTAGTAGAACGTGTGAAGGCTTCTAACCATAATTAAGGGGAGGGAGTTTTATAAACGTTTAGGCAGATTTTGGGTGTGAAATTGGGAGAGTGAGCCTTTCGAATGCTCACAAGCTATTGTAATTCCTTTCAGTTTATATCTTGTTTCAACTGTTTTAGCTATAAAGGTGCATCTGACCTTTGAATATATATTTAAGCCCCTTCCACTCTCCCAGTTGTGGCTTTCTCGACAAATTCCAAGCCTGGAATATTATTCCATTACCGTCTTCTTTTAAATTTGTTATGTCCTTCCATGTATATCTAATCATGATGCGACTTTCCTGTCTTATTGTATCATTCTAAACCTTTGGCTTACTTTTACGCTATATAAATTTTGTTCAGGAAACAAATGAGAGTCTCGAGGACGCAAGCAATGAGTTGATTCTCACTGATGAAGATATAGTGCGATTCCAGATAGGGGAGGTATTTGCTCACGTCCCAAAAGATGAAGTCGAGAACAGGATCGAGCAGACGAAAGAGGTTACTGAAAAGAACTTGGAGAAATTGACTGAAGAGAAGGAATCCATAGTTAGTCAGATGGCTGAATTGAAGAAGATTTTGTATAGCAAGTTCAAGGATTCCATCAATCTTGAGGAGGATTAGTGATATGTTATTGGTCTACTTCAATCATCTTTCGAACTATAATTGGCTTTCTTGGATATTAAATTTTATGGCATTGATCTTTCATTAAGCCAAGCCAAACATGTCCTTACGATTTGAGTCAAATTTGAATTTTGTAACTTGACCACGTGAAAAATATGCTGATTAATTATTGTAGTATATGTTCGTATTGGGTAAAATAATCAATAAATAACCACTCCATGCCACCTACCACCAAGCCTTGGTTATTTTATGATAAAATTGCTGTTGAGGCCCTAATCTTTCAAAGAACATAAATAAATTTCTAACCTTTCAAATCTTGTTAACGTCACACATTCAACGATCCTCGTTTCTTTTACCGTATTCTTCATTAAAGCGAAGAGATTTTGTATTTTTAAATTCAAAATCTTTGTGCGTTTTGACATCATGACATCGAGATCACAAGAACCTATTTATAGTTTTTCGTAAAGGTTAAGGATCTCTTTAGCAATTTTTCCTCATTTAATAACGTCACTTGTAGTGGATATGCTCAACTCCAATTTCCCAGATTAAACACACAATACACGAGCAAGAATATCTCTTTCTAAAGAATAGCTAGGCAAAAGATTGCAATTTTTTCCTTCAACGATTCTGAAAATGGCGACAGTCCCATCTGCCGCACTCAATCTTGCACCATCTACAAGATTTACACCATTTATGGGCACTTCTCTTCTGGGTTCTTCCAGTTCAGTATTCTTTAATAACAATATCAATGGCCGTGCCAATCTTGGCCTGGTTCTTGGTGGATCGAGAAGAATTAGCAGGAACCAGAAAAAGGGGATGTCGTGTAACTGCTTATTCGGACTTGGGGTGCCGGAGCTAGTGGTCATTGCTGGAGTGGCTGCCCTTGTTTTCGGGCCCAAGCAGATTCCGGAAGTCGGCCGTAGTATTGGCAAGACTGTCAAGAGCTTCCAACAGGTCCTCTTTGTTTCTTTTTTCCTTTTTGAGAACGTTATTGTGAACATTTTTCATTTTCTGAAGGCATGAATTTATATGCTTTATAATTTTGGCGAAATGTGACTGAGTTGACATTGAAGAAGATGAATAATTGGGTTTTGAACATGATGGATTTTTTATTTTACTCCAAAATCTGTCCGAACAGATTAAGGCCACCTCCCCGGCCACCTATGCATCCTCGCATGCTAGAACACACTGTTAAGTTTCCAGTAGGACCGCAAAATTCTGTCAATGAATGTAATCTTCTCTTGGAAATATATTCGCGAAATTGTTAAATTCTTGGAGAGTTCCATATAGACAGACTTTTATTTCTAGTTATTACTATATAAACTATATTTAGTTTATTTCCAAGTAGCTTGTGTTTATTGTCGGAAGTACTTTCAGTACAGATTCAGAATTTGAAAGGGGGCCTGCAAGTGCAAACATCATGATGCTTTCAGTCCAAACTCCAAAATCACCTTCTCAACCTATTTTAAACGTTTGAAGACCTTTCAACAATGCTTATTTTGATTCTAAATCCTTTTTGGACATTGACATCGTAAAGCCCTTTAGAGAGAAATAACTTGCTAACTTGATTCACTCTTCATCTGAGGTTCTATTTTCTTTATTATATGTGACTCATAGTTTATCACTCTTTGATGTTGCAAGTGATACTAAGCCCATGTTTGGTAGAGATTAAAATCAGATTTTTAGTAAATTTTTATAAAAATTGATAAAATGTGTGGTTGAAAAGTTGTGGGTCCTATGAAATGTGTGGTTAAAATTAATTGTTGACTTTGACTTGAGATTTTAATTGGATTTTAATCCACCAAACAGGACCTAAGTGTGTTAGCGTCATGAGAAACCCTTTCTACGAACATTTGCTTAAAATGAACTCTCCAATTATTCTGAGGCTTGAGCATGGCAACCTCCTCAAGTTAAAATTGAAGTTGGTCATTGTTAAAATATCCACACACACCAACTATAAGTTGATAGATCATATGTTTGTCCACCTACATGCCTCCATGTATATATGTACTTAGTATAGTCATTCGTTAGAGTAGATCATTAATCCACAATCTGTCATATTAATCCATATGCAGAACCACAATAGTGCCTTAGGTCATAACCTACTCAACTTTATCATAAGGTAATTCATTGATAACACTTGAAATTTCATGTGGCGTGTCCAACATGAACTTGTTCTCTAAGAAGCACACTCGCGATTACTGCAGCATCTAAGTTAATGATATGAGTACCACAATCCCATTTAAAGAAGTACCATGTGCTGGTCTTTCTGCATTGTTAGAGCCTAATTGATATACAACTACTTCTTTGCTATCTTTGTCTCTTTCTTTCAATGTTTCGGCCCTCTCGGGACACGGTGGTAATCCTCTGTTCCACCAGTAACCACCCTTTCTTAGTCTCTTACTCAAGTCAATATCGGACTTGTAAAATCATGTCTACAGTTGTTATTTCATAGCAGGAATCTGGTTCATCAACATCCTCATAAAGAAATCCTTATCTGTCTAGGAGATGCGATACTATACAGATCTCCTAATAGCTTGTGTATCATCTAGTGTCCTCAGGCATTCATAGTAGTCTGAGGCCAAATGAAATTTTCTTTGACTTATATTTGTTCCTAGCCCCTCATTATCACACGCATAACCAAGAAAATGGTGTTCTTGCAAACAACTCTACGTTCTTGCGAAACATAGAAATAATATCCTAGTGACTCTTTAGGATATCATACAATCTACACCTTTCCGACCTCACCATTTTGTTTGCCTTTCATTTCCTAGCATAATTTGGATATCCTTAAATCTTAACATTCTTAAGACTTATTTGTTTTAATACCTTATAGAGCACGTGGATCAACTTCGAGGGAACTTATTTAAAAAATAGATTGTGGCAAGCAGAGCATGTTAGAAAGTATAAACCAATATAGACTTATTATAGAGCACTTCAAATCCAACTAAGTACTATTCCTCCTTTTTGATACACCATTTAATTCAGGTGTCACTTGGGGAGTCCGCTGCATATTACTTACATTCTCCTTTAATACAAGTAAGGAGTCAATGTTTATCAATCATATTGAGCTGAATATGAAAGAGAAAGATACAAGTTAACAAATGAAAAACATTAGGGATTAGTCAATCATATTGAAGTGAATATGTTGACAAGGTTTCGTTCATTGAGCTATAGATTGGATCTTTAAAATCAAGTAGTACCACCCACTATTTCAAATCACATATTCCTTTCAATGAGATAGAAAATTCCTTCTTGCCAATTTTTTTTATGGGGATTGGGGTAGGGGCAAAGCTAGGGGGACAAAAAAAATTTATACTGGGCTGATACATTGAAAAAAAAACACTAAAAAAGGAATTTCATCAAAAAAAAAAAAAAAATTTGCCCATGTAAAGTTAATTGAGTGCCCAGACCTATCTTTAAATCAAGCCACATAAGACATAATACATTGTTGACATGTTAGAAAAGAATGAGTAGATAAAACTCGTCCAATGAATATGATGCATGTTCTGAGCATATCCTTCCACCCCTAGAATATAAGAGCTTCACATAATAGAATTCTATACTCCCATGAATGAGTTAGCGTGCGTCACACTTATAGATTTCTAGGTCCTAATTATGGTTAGTCCCATGCATGTTTACTCTACTGGCTTATTGTGGAATACTTGTTTATGCTTTGAGGGGTCACAATTCAGTAATCCAATATTCCTTTGTTATAGCATATTTTTTATTTTAAAGGAAGAATCTGGTCATTCGTTTGAGATTACTCTTGTTTAGCATGCAAATTTAATTTACATGTTTTAACCTTGAGGGGTTGATCAATTGGTCGAGCATTGGGTTTACTCCCCAATGGTCACCAGTTCGAATCCCCTCAAGGCCATTGAGGTGAGTACCCGACCGTAAACTTCAGGACCCCGTGGAATTAGTCGAGGTGCGCACAAGTTGGCCCAGACATCCATAGTTATCGAAAAAAAAGAACATGTTCCTCTCAAATATATCTATCCTTGGGTCAACTTTGGGCTATGCACAGTTCAACTTGAGCCGTAAAGTTGGATATTATGTAACTAGCTAGTTTACACATTTGTATTTGTCTTCATATCCTCCTATGCTGCCTCTTGAAATTATCCTTTTAGCCTATCTAATATCATCCTGTTCTTCTGCAATATTGACAAGCAAAAAGTGATCATGGACCAAGGGATACATTATAGTGGATGAGAGATTACGAAGAGAGAGAATAGATAGAATAGCATGGCTTCAGACAGCTTATTGTTGCATTAAATTTGAACTCTGTGCATCACGGTTAATTGATTGGTGCATGTCTTGCACACTATACAGTTTTCGTTTGTGCTCAAAAGTGCTCCTAAAACACAACTCATTAAACCTTAGCAATTTAGACGTTGCACATCTCTACAAGTTTGTC